TGTTAGTTGTTTTCGTTCGTTATCCAATCTGTCTCTCTTTCCTCCGTTACTCGCATTTGGGTCATATCAGTCTTTCCCGTTTTTTATTCCCTAGCGTTGTTCTTCGTGAGAATTTTTCTCCGGTTAGGATATTGAAATTCATCTTTACATCTTTGCCCTGCCATTTAAGTTAAGTCAACATTGTCCATACCGCTGCCGTAAACCTTGTTGTTTAAAAGTTAGACCTCCAACTCTTCTCTCGTGGTCTACTAAAGCTGTCTGGTTAAGGACTAGTCTTGTCGGGATGGGCATCAACAACAACTCGTAGGTTTAGCCCATGGTGGCTATGCGCTTCTATTTGCACTATATATCTTTCCAGTGGTCAACGTCAAGGCGATATGAATGTTCTCCCGCGGTGGCCGTCAAAAGGCCAACACTGAGGGCTAGAAGGGTGGGGGATATTATTGAAGGGTGGGGGATATTATTGATAGGGAAATCTTTCTAGAAGCTGTTTTCTTAGCATTTGAACGAACGGGAAGGTGCGATTGGTCCTCTGTTATCTCAAAAAAACGGTTAACATTCCGAAGGAGGAGAGGCCGATCGCGTCCCTTGAGAAGTCTTGGCAACAGGGGTCCATGTCGCCCCCCACTCAAGCACCACAGTACTCGAGTGCCGTACTCGTGAAAGTACCGGTAAGTTAGTGGCGGAGGAGTGCCTGAAAACAGGATGCGTAAGGTACCGGTACCAGTATTTGGCAAGAAACGCGTGCCTACTTGTACTCGAGTACCTGAGCGGCCATACAGGTTCGGGACACCTGTATCCGGATACCTAGCACCTTGCTCGATTTAGTCACAGTCCCCCCATGGACTGCTACGCTACCGTACTAGTACTGTGGTCTACTCGAGTATTGGTTGTTATCCAGCGGCTTGAGTGATAGAACATACCATATCGCTGAAAAGGTGACTCGAACCACGGTTTGCCATCGCATCTAGCGCTCAGGCGAGAAAAATATGGTTTGCGATCTGTACGAGTGTTGTACAGTGCGTGTAGAAACCACCGGTAAGACAGCACGCTATCGCACTTATAGGGAGAGGTGATATTAGCTAGCATTTGGATATATTCGAGTGCCGGTACAGGTAGTTTCTGATTTCATGGCAGGCCCGTGATTAGCATGCTCGAGTACTATTTCCGAGCGCTTCCGGGTATCCCTACATCTTGACTATGCAGAACTCTGGTATCAATCTGGGTTGGGTTTACAAAGGATCATAGTATATCTCTTGGCTCGTTCCCGAGTTTCACGACCTTTTAGAGCCAATTTTCTCCTCCGATCTTGAAAGGATCGGGCTCGTAAAACTGTGGCTTCGGTCATGGTCAATGGGGTTTATGGCCCCGAGGAGTCAGTCCATAATTTCCCTCGAGTGGCGATACCGCCCCCCCCCATTCAGCCCGAGCCTGAGGTCCTGAACACAGACTAGGGGATTTCCGCGCCAAAATCTAGAAGGGAGGGTCTTTAAATTCTGGGTCTAAATTACCTCCCCTCAGCTCAGACCGGGAAAACACTAAAAAATTCGCAGGCTACAGCTTTAGCGGCCTTGCAGCGGATACATGCAATCATAGGAAAAATTGTTAGCTATCCGGAGAAGTTGATTTTCTTGTGTGTTGTTTGGCTGTGCTGCTGCCGCCACAATGTAGAGATTTGGGAGGTCCTGGTTGTTATGAGGATACTAGAGTAGCTAGTGTTCCGGAGGTCGATTCTAGGCTCTGGGTTTTTATAAACTCTTGTGGGGATAGTGGTGTTTTAGGATGGGATGTGATGCCAGGTTGTTGTCGAGTGTTTACAGGGAAGCCATTCCATTCAATACCTGGTTATCTACCACCATGGTGACAGCTTTTTTTTCTTCAGTAGTTAGATTATTAAAACATGATATATAGTGGACGTGGATTTGCGGGGGTAAACTATAGCAGCAGCAATACCGTACCAGAGGCAATCGTGGCTACTGTGAGTGCTGTTCTCGAGTGATAATTGGTGATCTGCTAGAAGGTTGGAGTTGCCTCCCCCCGGTAAGTTCTGTTGCATTTCCGTCTTTTTTTTTATCTCAACCAACCTAGAGCTGAGCGAGAATCTTTCGGCTATGCTATCTCCTTCATAACCCAAAGGGGGGAATTATCGGCGTCCTAGCGTCATTCCAAATTACCCCTGCTTTTACAGCCATATCATTCGTCGAGGTTGCTTGTAGGTATAGCTAGACACCGAGGAGGTTAACATTGCTCGGAATTTCTTTTAGGCCACACCGGGAGATCAGGGTGGCTGGAGGTTTGCCGGGTCGGCAGGCTACCGGTCCGGGGTATCGGTATCGTACCGCAATGTACCTGTAGTTACGGTGGCAGAGTGATATTTTGGTTGGTGGCGTTCCCTGATACGGGGTGAGGCTGCGGGATGACAGGAACGCCTCCCGATGGCGTTTTCATCGGTGAGGTGGAAGCCGTTATGGTAGTGGCTGGTGTTACTGACGCTCCTTGGCTTGTGCGCAACTGGTTAGACTCTTCATCTCATAATCTACCGGTTTCACACTCGTTTTGTAAGTTATCGGTAATGTGTGGGGGAGTTTTGCGCCTTTCGCTCTCTGTGCGTTAAAGATGGCTGATTCGGTGACTTCCCATAGTAGTTTTAGATTTTCTGGGCTCTAGCCCACTATATATACCCCCAAAAAGAGTACCGGTGAAGGCTACACGAATAAACATAGTCCCGTGGTGTGGGGGAATTATTTATTAGTTAAATTCGTGGGTGTTGAACTGTTATTCTTTCCGTGTTAATGATAACCTGCGCCCGGTAATCTTTAAATTTACGTATACGGGAGTAGTTCAGTGGATCTGGGGTTGTTCAACTAGGCTATTCACCGATGTTTGGGGGAGGGCCCTCGAGGCGCGCAGCGTTGGTAGTTTTACAAGGATAGAATACTCTAACACCATTTCTCTACCCATGGAGTACGGCGGTTTCTATATTGATCCTTAGATTTCTAACTGTTCATAGGTTCTTTGGTACATTCTAGAGCCATAAAATAAGCCGTTCCTTTAGGAAATTTCAGAGCAAAGGATGGGTACAGAGTTAGCCACAGCCGGATCAAGAATTCGCTTGTAAGTTATAGGGGTTAGCACAGCACATATGCCCGGATTGCACTGGTCACAATAGAACAGCAGAACAATAGAACGGATGCGGAAACAGATATTATTGCCAAGTAGAATAGCTATTAAGTTGAGTACAGTACATAGCGGGTTCTTGTTATGGCAATTTGCCAATCGTTCACCAAGTTCGGAGCTGATCATCAGGTCTATCGTCAAAATACCGTATCCGCTGCATGGGCTCTTGATCCTGGAGCTCCTAGATTCTGCCGTTTATGTTGATTTTTCGGTCTGAAGTCTAACAGGCAGCCAAACTTCGGTCACCGCTTAGGATATTCCGTCATGCGTTTCTGCTAGGGGGTCGAGTCGGTTAGGCTACTATTCCCCGCTTCCGAAATTCTATCACGTTCCAAACCCAAGAAACGCTATTGGGGATTATTTGTGAGTACTCGAGTACAGGTACAGGTACAACCACTTCATGCACAGTACCTTCGAAGCCCGTGCCAGAGGTTGGGGAAGGCATGCACGGGGCTGAAGAGGATGGGATGTGCGATATGTGACAAGTGACTGTCCGCTCCTATCGTTATGAAGGATTGTTTTTGCTTGCTTTTTTCTGATGTGAATAAATGACTAGCTCACATTTGTCTGAGATACAGTGGAATACTTTTTTTTTTTTTTTTTTTTCCGACCCCACTCATTTTTTCAAGCCCCCCTAGAATCACATTATCCTTGAGTTTACAGATTTTCGTCTGCTCTGGTGCTTGCTCTACATGCAAGACCGGGCGGTGCATTCCGGGGAATCCATGGCATCCACAAGGAACTTAGGTCATACCTTAACAATAGAGAATATAAATTCAGCAACTGATCCTTTAGACAAAATTCGGGGAGTTTTTTGTCTTGGACCAACTTTAACCTGACATGTGAATGCCCAGCATCCTACAAGTGAGTATTGGAGAAGCCATTCGTGAGCAGTGTGTTTACACGTGTGTCTCATGCGGGACTTTATCAGCGTTATTTTACTGACGAGTTACTGATCCAACCCCAGCACGATAGTGCAACTATCATACTGGTCCCACCTACCGATATTGTGCAATACTTTGTCGCCACCCAAGGCTCAGCCGTGGACCAAACCCCCAGGGAATGAATATTGCTATGAAACCAAGGCAGCATCGGTGGTAGCCCCGCCTTCTTGTGAATGCGGTTAGCGCCATCTGATCTTGGAAGGTTACGAGATACGCAAAGAGCTGGGTCGGCAGAATTGTTCACCAATCATTCGCGAGTGCGGAGACACGGACACGCTCTTGATTGAGCGACGGCGTTCAATGGTTCCTGAAAATGCCAAGAAGGTTATTTTGACTTCAGGATTGAACGGAGTTCTGTTTTTTTCAACAGGTTTCGCTTGTGGGAAGCGGAAATTTGGTGAAGTGTTGTTTGACCTTGATTTTTTATGAGAGTGCAAAGGGGGAATTCCATCTTCTTGGTGTCCAGCGCAAATGCACGTGGTAGGAATTGGCTCTCTCCCCGAGCTGGGTACGGCGGGGGGATTAGCCTAGCTGCGGTAGCCTTCCTCCGGGAGTGCGATATGGTCTTTGGCTTCCTGTGGAAGTGGTAATGATTTTCATCCAACTATATTGTATTGTGCGATAATGGCCGGAGGGAAGCTGCAGTGCCGGTAAATGATCTCCGCCTGCTCTCCACGTTAGGCGATCGGCTATTTACTTGCACTCTGGAGTCACATCTTTTCTTCTTCTTCTTCTTCTCCTTCTTCAGTTATTCCTGTGATATTGTTACCGTATGCATGTGGCCTTGTCGCCTAAGTGCTTGTTTAAAAAACTTCCTCTCCCCTTCCGATTCTGCTCTTTTCATTCCATCTTCATCCCTTCGACGCTCTCTTTCCTTACCCACAATACCCTCTTTCTTCCTTGATCTTAGGCTGTGGATATGAACACTAGGATCTTGTTTCTGATTGCCCTGAGTGCTTTTGTCGCCATCGCTGGGGCGGGCAGAGGTGGGGGTCATAAGAAGGCTAGGAATTTTATCATGGTATGTGGGTCGCTTGATTGGGTCACGTAGTGTTTGCTGACAATGCTTCCACAGGTTATCCCGTGAGTTTTCCACTTGAGTTGTTTCAAGCACAGGGTGATTGACTTACTCGACTACTAGTGATGGATTTGGTCCCGCTTCAGAGACCATGGCTCGCGATTGGATTCACTGGAAGGACAATTCCACCAAGGGATTGCCAATCGATGAGATGATGATTGGCCAAATTCGCACTCGTTCTAGCGATTCGTACGTCACCGACTCGGCCAGTTCTGCGACAGCGTACTCGTGCGGTATCAAGACTTTCAATGGGGTATTTTCTTCGATCGCCTCGACTGGTTTTGGAAGATTGCTAAGTTTAGTAGGGAATAGCCGTTGATGATGATCAAGAGCCCTGTGGAACTGTTTTGGAAGCTGCTAAGCTTAAGGGATTCATGACTGGGCTTATTGTTACTAGCAGAATCACTCATGTCTGTCCATTCATGTAATAAATGGTGCTTGCATGATGCTGATGCGTTGCGCTCTAGGCTACTCCGGCATCTTATGTAGCTCACATCTATGATCGCGATAAGGAAGCAAACATTGCCTTGCAGGAAATTGGGTACACTCATCCGTTGGGGAGAACTGTTGATATCTTGATGGGTGGCGGAAGATGCTATTTTACCCCTCAGAAAACTGCTTCCTCGTGTAGAAAGGATGATATCGATGCTCTTGCTATCGCTAGAACTTTGGGGTACACAGTTTTCGAGGACAGGGCCACCTTCGATAAGGATGTTAATCTACCTTACCTTGGATTGTTTACTCAGGGTATTGCCGTTCTCCCCTGAATTCTGTGTAGTGGCTAATACCAGGCTAGACCACATGTCCTACGAAATTGACCGTGACCCGAAGAAGGAACCTTCGTTAACCGAGATGGCCATCAAGGGGTTGAATGATTTGTACAAGGCGACCAAGAAGTCCAAGGAAGGCTTCTTTGTTTTGGTTGAGGCTTCCCGAATTGTATGCGGCACTAAATATTTTCTAGTTTTCATAGTTGACATTTGATATTAAGGATCATGCTGGCCACGCAAATGATCCGACTGGCCATCTCCACGACATTCTTGAGTACAACCACGCCATGGATGCTATGCGCGAATGGATCGATGAACATGACGATTCCCCCACCGTTCTCATCTCAACTGCTGACCACGAATGCGGTGGTTTGACACTCGGCTACGTGATTGATGGTGCTCCTGAGTACTGGTTCGCGCCTGGATATTTTGAGAACTCAAAGAGCTCTACCGAGAAGCTTTCCCGTGACTGGAAGGCCGCTACAACCACTGACCTTGCTCGATACGCCCGCGACAACATTTTCAAACCATACGGAATCATGTCACCCACCAACGATGAAATTTCCCGCGCAATCGCCCTCAGGAATACCACTTCTGGTTTTGGGGTTTTCCTTGGTCAGGCTTTCAGCGAGAGACTTGGTGTTCATTGGGCTACTCTGGGGCACTCTGCCGTTGACGTTACCCTCTATGGACACGGAGTCAACCACAAGGACTTTGCGGGCCAACATGAAAACACTGAGGTTGCGGAATTCGTCGCCAAGCAACTCGACTTGGACCTTGATCCTATCACCGAGAGGCTTAGGAAAAATGCTTCCTGGGTTAGGGATAACGTCAAGCCCCAGCCTGGGCAGACGGCGAGACTGAAGGGCAGGGATGTTGCTAGAAACCATCATTAGTTTAGTGAATTCACTAGAGCTGGGTCGGTTAAAGTAGCGTTTGTGTCAAAATCATAATATCAAAAATCGCAATATACTGTGGATAGGCGTGAATTGAAGATGTCTTCTTCACAATCCTTTCGAGTGTGCGTTGTCAGGATTACGGTGGAGAGACCCGTGCTAGGTTAGCGGCATTGTTTGTTGTGATGTGATATCTAGTACGGTAGACAAGAAAGGTTTTATTTTTATTTTTGCTCCTCCCACAAATGAGGTAAAACAGAGAAGTAGTTGGGGAGGAAAAAAAGAGAAAATGGCCAACGATAGGAAACAAAAGAATACACTAGCAAAGGGTCCAAAATGAAAGCCAACCATGTAACAAACTTCTCAGATATCCATTATCGTGTATTCCGTGATCTAGCTAGACATTCTGGGCCAGTAACCGGACTACACATCTTTGGAAAACTAACAATGCCCTTGTGACAATATCTTTATATCGCTGACAATTCCATAATGCCCGGTACGCCGTAGTTACCTCTGTCCATGGCTCTTCATCCAGGTAGCTCACATCGTGACTAGAGGTTTCGAATCGATCAATGAATACTTGAAATTTTGTGTAGAATTCATCGGTGCCAGTTTTACTCGTATGAGCTAGTACACCGGCATGGATACTTAGGATATCAAGTGTTTCCTCGTGTGCTGCAAAAGTTAGTCTTCATGTTTAGCGTGAGATAGAAAAGACTTGGAGATTACCCACTGATCTTCTGTACATCTGAAGGGACCATTCCGTAGAGTTTTATGAAAGTCTTTCACCTTCCGCGGGATATATTCTCCCTAGAAACCCCCCCATCACACCACTTCTCTCCCAGTCCTCTCGCACCCCTTCCAGAATCTTCTACAACCCCCCCCCCCTGCTACAATGTGGATTGCGATAGCATATATATACCCACCCTTTCCTCCCGCATTCGGTCTCACACTCCAACCAGCTATCAGTATTTTATTACCTCTACTTTGTGCATAATTTCCCTAGTGCTTGCTCCATGTCAGATATCCACTTAATTATGCCGTGAACTTACCTTCGGCTTACATTGTTAGCAGGTGTGACGTGGGGTCGAGTTGAGAGTCTCCAGGCGTGTCGGTTTGGGGGGACCGGAAGCCTTGGGAGGTTGGTATAGGTTGCGGGGAGATGCGAGACGGTTGAGGACATGCCCTAGTAAGGGGAAGGGAAGGGGGTCGTGTGGAAGTAGGGATAAGGACGATATTGTGGGGAACACCTCGACCGTGGTGTCGTAGTTGCTATGTGGATCAAAGAATGGCGGTAGAGACCGTTGTTGGGATATGAAGGAGTTCCTGGAGGACCTACTTTAACCTCGTGCCCCGAACTGACGGACCGCACGACGTCGGCCCGCGTAGTACGGCACATGGTACAAAAGTGTCAGAGTGTAACGCTAGCCTAAGCTAGGAGTACGATTTGTGGGAGCCATAGAATCTAGCCTATTACCGCGTGTTTGATGGAAGCCCAAGTGTTGGAAATTACGTTATTCCTTTCCTATCCGGTGGTGGGGCAGTGTTGGTCATGTGACACAGCCACATGACTGAGTATATATGCTATTGTATTCTAGCATCTTCTATAGATTTCCTTGGTATGAGGCAGTGCTCATGTAACGATAAAGGGGTATATAAAGGGCAGGTTCAGTCCTGTTCTTAGAAAGAGTGCGCAAGCTTGGATTAATCTTTAAGTCTTTAGATTTTATTGTAGTTATCATTGTTACTTCGTTATCACAACAGTTAGTACAATAGATACAAATATTTTCACCAAGCCAGGTTGCTTCACACCAGCACGCCTAGATGGTGTCGGACGAGACGATGGTGTTGAATAGTAGGGTACTCGAGTAAAGGGAGGGGATGGTACTGTACGAGTAGATGTTTGCTTGGAAGTACTATTTAGGGATTACGATCCGCCTCTTACCTTGTATATGATATTATCATACTTGCCTTCATTTCTGCAGAAGGGTGGGGTACACTCGGGAAATGGCTAAGAGCCAAGCGAGCAGAGCCTCTTCTTCTTTTCTGCAATATTCCGCCAGGGGAACCAGACTGATAACAAACGCCGGTCAAGACACCCCCCCTTCTATTCCGTGCTTCACCTGGACCCATACTGTAAGAAGAATTCTCTGACGTATTTACGGTGGAGCGAAATATGACCACAGGAGAAGATATCTTATTATAAACCGAACCAGGCACCTTCTACTTTCCCCAGGGCGGGAAAAGTACGGTAGGGAAATGGTCACAAGATTACTTGCTCTTAAATCTTAAAGAGGAACTCCCACTTATTTTCCAAATTTCGGGAGGTACAGTACAAGTGCTCGGGTATGGAGATTATTTATTTGTGAGACGGAAAGGGTGCGGGCGGCTGAAGACGTATCGACGGATCCCCGCGCCGTGCATATCTGCCTTCGGCCACCCGTACCCTGTCTGTCTGTCGCATTACTAACCTCCATACCCTAGCACGGTGCTGCACTTGGGCCTCGATATCATGTCTGGCCAAATTATCGGTTTTCACCGCCATGGCTCACATGATCATTTCCAGAATATTCAGGTGCCACCCAGCTCTCTACCCTCTGTTGAATATTATGTTGGTTCTCGTCCGGGGTTTGGCTTTGGTGCTGCTGGTATCGTGGCTTCTCCAGTCTTTTGAGAAGATAATGGTAGATGTTTATGAGGGCTTCCGGGAGGGTAGTTTTGTCGTGTAAGATGTTGGTTGGGGTGACACGGGCGGGTATATTGGACCGCGATTTGGCCAGAACGTCACTTATTATTTCAGCCCCCGCAGCGGGGCGGGTACGGTATTTTGGAGTTGTGCTTAGGATACTAGCCACCATCGCTTCATACCCGAGTACGGTGCTGAATCTAGATTAAATCTTCCGCTTTCACATCCTTTAACATTAGCACCTGCAGCATAGCGGCCGGGTTCTAACATATGCACCAGTGAAAATAGCTATCAAAACATCAAAGACGGGAATTCTCTACTATCATACCTATTGATAAATAATCACGAAATCTCACTCGCTCTGTTGAAACTGGAAGTGTGCAGCACGGCAATGAACGTCCTTTTTGCTATACCAAAGTGGAAAAAAAAAACTCCCCGAGCGACAAAGATGTATGAAAGAAATTGAGAGAGGGTGGGATCATAAGGTAAGGACTGAAATAAATAAATACATGAAAAGATAAACATAGAAAAAAAAAATAGAGCAGCGAATATCCATCTCGGCGGAAGGCAGAAGCTGACTTGATACTAATTCAAATGGTGATGGTGATGTTGTATGCTCACGAGCAAGATCATTTAAGCGCGGAATCTCTTGGGGGCGGGGCGGCCGCCACGCTGGCCCGTAGGAGTATTGTTTCCACCTGCGCCAGCACCGGCGCCGCGGTTGTTCCCGTTGGGGGTGTTTCCGCCCGCTCCGGCTCCCGCCCCGTTGTTGTTTCCCCCGGCATTATTTCCATTAGCATTGCCGTTACCGGCGGCACCACCGGCAGCAGCAGTGTTTGTTGCAGCAGCGTTTCCTGCGGAGAGGGTATTTGTTGCTCCCGAGTTGGCAAGCGTGTTACTTGCTACCGCGCCAGCACTAGCGCCAGCACTAGATGCGGCCCCGGCTGCGGCACCGGCACTTGCTTGTTGTACCGGGACACCTATCGACCCTAGTTAGTTTTCTCGAGGCAGCAAGGGTGGATAGAGGAAGTTCGTACATCCACCGAACGGCCCGGCGTTGGCAGGGTTCTGGCACCGAACCATACAGATACCCGTCATCGCACCAGCAGTTCCTGTGCAGGCCATATTCGCCGGCATCTGTGCTACAAGCGGCTGTACCCCAACCAGAATTAGTCCATTGTCGCCCTCCCCGAAAGAATCCTGCCCAGCAAAAACTCACAAAATCGGTCTCACTTCCATCTCTATCCCTCCCATCCTGTCCCGGAACGTTCTGTGTGACAGTCATGGGAGTGAACGACGCGCCAGTGCCTGTCTGATCGATCATACACTCGTATGGTCCCGCCCCGTCCCCATTCACTTGGTGCAGTGTCATGGTGAGTTCACCGCCCGGTGAGACTTGGGGGAGGCCACCGTTCTGGGTGATCACAGATTGCATGGCGGTTGGGATGTTGATTTCCCCGGCTTGGAGGGTCATACCACAGCCAGTTCGTGCTACTCCTTCGTCATCGTCTTCCTCTTCGAAGACTGTGGTATCTTGCTGGAAGGGGCGGCGGCGGGTGCCGTCCCGGGGAGTCGCAGCATCAACTAGAGAAGTGTCAGTATGAATTTATGTTAGAACATGAGGAGTGGTTCCAAAGGTAGTATACCAGCAAGAGCAGTTCCTTGACCACCGGCATCACCCGTTGCACTAGTAATCACGCCATGGGCTGAGGTAACGGTAATTAGAGTAGTAGTGAAAAGTACGATGTCGAGGAAGTAGTGCATATGCATTTCTATGGGAATTGGATGAAATGAAGTGAATTAAAGGAATAAATTGCAAGGAGTGAGACAATATTGTGAATTGTGTATGGAGAACAAGTTAATGCTCAGAACTAGTCGAGCTATAATGGAAAGATCGCTCCTGGCGTAATACACTTCAAGTGTTGAGTGGAATTCAAGAGAGAATAGAGGAGGTCTAATCGTCTGGCGATCTGGTGCTGATGAGGTGACGGAAGCAATAGAGACTGAGGACCAGAGGTATTTATAGAAAAGAATCTTGCTGTGAAAAACTGCCATTATATCGCAGGAATCCTCTTTTTCTCGTTCCCCGACCAGCGAAACATGTTGGTTCGACTCCAAGCCACCGTAACCGCACTCCATTTCCATTCCGAATCCACGAGATCTTATGTTTTTCGTCTTATTACACCCCTTCCCCCTCTCTAAACTCCATCAACCGACTTGAAAAAAAGAAAAAAAACTTCCATCTCCAGTAAGCCGAAGGTTGATACTACTCCCACTACCAACCCCGTTAGAACACAAAGACGAATAGAGATAGAGGGTAGTGCTCGGATATTTTCTGTGCGATACTATATCTTACCCCCACTCACCTACCCACTTGCATTCACTCCTCCTCTCCCCCCGCGGCCGCTGGGATTATACCATCGCGACTCCCCTCTTACCTGTTTCAACCCCCGCTACTATTCTTATCCACTAGTTGGCAATAAAAAAGTAAGCTCGCACCAAGCGATAGCATTATTACCTTGCCGATAGTAGTGGGGCACTTTGGTTAAGCTTATCGCAAGCGGAGAGCTGCAAATCCTCGCTAGACCGGATTGGTGCACTTAATACTTAATATTTACTCATCAGGGGTCGTCCCATCCAGAACCCGAAACAAACCCGGTCGGAAAGCGTGATACAATCGGCCTCCTTTCGGAGGATTTACTCTCTTGTCTAGGGATTTATAATAGGTTTCAATGGCCGGAGGATGTGTGATCTGGGGGAGGTGTAAGTAGTCAATGCGGGTGTCATGTGATGATCTACACAGGGGAGGGAATTCCAAATACCTGATCTACGAGTATCTACACTACAGCAAGCGATAATACTCTTCCATTACCCACTTATGGCACCCACCGGGCTCACTACTCGCACTCCGCCCCCCATTCGATTTGTGAAACCCCTTCGCTTCCCCCACCACCTGACCCAAAAGAGATGATAAGAACGAAGATACCGGTACTACATCACCACTCTAGACAAGCCTAACTGGATGAAACCACTTTCCGTGCGATCGATATCTCGAAACCGATATTCAAATCGTATCCTCCCCCCTCCCACTAAAAATACTTTCCGGGAGCTCGGACTTGTGCCAAGTTATCCGGGGACTATGATATGATACCTGCATTTCTTGTGCTTCTTTCCTTTTTTCGCTTTCCTCACAACGCTCGTGCTTCCGGTGACCGTTGCCTTAGGACGTGCTGCAAAACACCGATACCTAGGGGTCACGATGATAGTGCAGAATTTGCTGTTGAAACTAGTTCCTGAGGTTTCCCTTGTTTTAACAAGGCCCAGGGCATTCAATCGGTAGTGTAGGACGCTAGTTCGTGCAAGGAAATCATTGCATTTGCGAAAAAGGCATTTCGGAGACCGAGGTGAGAAGTCTCCGAGATGCGGGCCTACAGACCTTTCCGTCGATTTCTAATATTCCCGGCCAATGAAGGTTCTGGAATTCGGGGGCTGCACAAGTTTGTAGTATGTGGATAGGCTTCGCATGCCCCGGCCCCGTTATATGGTTGGGGTTGGTCTCGGTGGGTTTAGTTATTTAGTTTTCAGGTCCCCCATCTTGGGTTTTTTGTTTTGCTAAGCTAGAAACTTTCTTGAGGGAAGAGGCAGTATGCGTGAATCGGAGTGTGAGGTTTATTTTTTTATTTTTGTTATTATGCTCCGGAACAAGTGAGATTGTATATTACTATACTAAAAATTTAAAAAAAAAGAATAGGTAGATATGCAGCTGGGGAGGAAGGCAAAGGGGGCAGCAGCCTCGATATTAATGTTGAAGGTTCCGGATGGACGTTGGATGATTGGAGTGGATTGTGGAAGTTTCAGGAGTCTGACAGATAGTTCAGGAGTATGTTGGGTCATTATGGAGATTCAGAGATCCGCGGAGATTTTCCAGATATGTCCTCCCATTGTTATCACGGGAGTGTACGGAGGAATAGATGAATGCGTGGAGACAGTGACAGGTATGGTGATCTATGGAAGGATCAGGATGTGCTGTCTATGCTTTATTCATACACCTGTCTTTGCCGTTAGTTTAAAGAAAGTGACGAGAGCGTTGACGAACGAAGAGAACGGAGTTGTCTACCATATCTCTCATATTTTTCCATACCCAATTCCCAAGAAAATTCTCTTACCTACCGTCTGCCGCTACGCGATTAGTCTTCCACCTTTATCCACCATCACCATTCAATAAGGTACCCGCTTTTCACAAAATCATCACAGGGGGCCTCCGAACAGCGCTGATGCCCACCCAGTTACTTCACCAATATTCATGTCATATCCGTGAGGATTCGTTTCTCGATGTTAACACAAGTTAATGAAGTACCTAATCCCGTGACCCAAGAGATTGAAGCACAAAGCTCTTTTCCCCATTGCTAGCCTAATAGCCCCAAGAAGGTTGGGGTAAAAAAAAGAAAGGAAAAACAAAGATCTTCCAGCAATATGTCAAATTTTGACCTAACGAACCCGACCTAACCCAGCGGAGAACCCATGTTAACCCAATAAATCTTCGGCCTGTTGGAAGGGTTTCTCCTGGCAGCGTCCGTTTAGGTTTTGCTGGAAACACTGATGTCTAGGGGACCTGATGATATAACATTAGTGGGCTATTAAAGCTACGTAGGTCGCGAGGATCTCCATGTCCGGAATGGTGGTTGGGTGTACTCCCGAGCATCGAAGCAATTTTGCTCTCGAGTGGGGGAGGTTTTACGGCATCTTACCAGAGATTATGAAATACCGGTACCGGTAGGCAGGTGTTAGTATTAAAGAGGAGCGTAGTGCAGGTGCATCCTCCTAGAGCATGGGGGGGGACGCAATGGCGATAACAGCCTCGAGATTGTTATATGTTCCCGCTATAAAATTCTGAAGCTGACCCAATTAGTTGACCAACATTCAAGAAGTTTCTCCGAGGGTTGTCTCTTGGTGTTAAAGTAAGTCAATGAGATACTAAATTTGGTGTCTTAGCAGACCGAGGAGTGAAGCTCCGTTTTTCTCATTGCTAACTTAACACTGCACAAAAGTTGGAAGGAAAAAAATGGAAACACAGAGATCCGCCATCAACACATCCAATTTTTATCCTCTCCCATACCCACTAGTAAACAACAATTTCTGGGGTATTTGTACCTCGGGGCCAGGTACCTCCTACGTTCCTTCATTTTCTCCACAAATCTCGGCCCGTTTAACCTCCAAAAAGCTACCAAAATACATGCAGCTTTGAGCTGCCTTCTGCGTTCCTTCATCTTCCGCAGAAACTCCGGCCCATTCCGTTTCCAAAAAGCCGTCAAAATCCATGCAGCGTAGCGCTGCCTGCGTTCCTTCATCTTCCGTAGAAACCCCTCCCCATTCAGTTCCCAAAAAGCGGTCACAATGTGCGCAGTGTTGAGCTGCCTCGTGCGCGGGTCCTTGCTTATTTTCCACAGATGTCTTTTTCGCTCTGCGATAAGGCGACTGCTTACTACCGAGATCCCATTCTCTTTCAATGGAATCCCAGCAAAAAATGACGGGACACATCCTGGGTAGCCCCATACAACGCAGATTGAATCGTTCTCTCCGTACTCTCGGAAGACTTTTGCCAAACGTCCTATAAGCTCATCTTCGCGTAGCTTCTGGATACCGCGAGCATTCAACGTGCTGCGAGAGAAAACCTGAGATACAATAAGCGTACTGCAACTCTCAAGTCCCTGCTAAGTGAGAAGCAAACCTCTTGCGATTTCAGCCACAATTTCACGTAACCCCTCGGTCGGGGAAAAAAGGTCCCTAAGTTGATAAGACATACAACAATTAGGGTGACACTTCGTCGGCCTAGAGCAATTTCATTGGTATGCCTTCTCTCTATGTTTAAAAGCATTTCGCAGAAGCTCAAACAAACGTTGACCAAGCACTGCTGGTATCGGAAGCGCTCTAGAACCGAAGGTGACCTATATTTCCTTTCCCACCTGTTGAAGTACAAACGATGCCAGGACTCCGGAATGAGAAACTCATAAGGCCGCACCAAGAAAATCTAAACTTATCAGCATCAAACTCTGAATATAGACCAGTTACTCACCAAGGACAAGGTTAATTCCTCATAAAGAGAAATGATGGATGAAGAGTAAAAGTTTAATCTGTTTTTTGCACTCCCCAGAGCACCGAGGATCTTGTAGATATTTTCGCACTATGCGAGAGTTAACAAATCGGCTTAAAGGCGGGTTGCTGAACTAAGCATACAAATCCCCCGGGAAAATCCCCAGCTTCGGTCTCTGATATAAACTGGTTGACTAAAGTTAACATATTCGAGCCATATTTGTGACTTGGGTTCCCCCTGTCCATTGTTCGACTCCGCATTGCTAGGAAGGCTTGCCGCCACTGCTCTTTATAGCCTGTTGGCTGTTAGAATACAGCTCTTCTCGCCTACAAAATTTTCAGAATCATTCCACATACCTAGAAATAGTGATGTCTGGTACTGAGCCAAAAGTGAAGACACACAATCCCCCACACCCATTTGAATAGCTGACGCTATCCGATACTCTGTTGTGTCATTATTAGTCATAACTAAGTATAATGCACGATATTTCCCATCCCGGTTGACGAGCTCGGATTTAATGTTAAATAGAACATTAAGGCTATGCTCATATGCGGATCTAAATTCTGTTTGCTCTAGAAAAGCCCTTCTCCAAAATCTCCAATCCCCTGTCCTACGTTAAACAGAGGTTTCTGGGTAGGATAGAGTGGAAGAGCTTACAATTCCGTGGCAAGGAATCTTT